GCGTTCCTCCGGCAATATTTTAATCTCGCGTTTTTCCGACGGAAAAAATATCAATATTTATGTTTTCACTTTTTTCCACCGGCTCTCGTCGAAATAACAGAATTTTCTGTTCCGCGGACCTCAATTGTATCCCGTAATCGCGGCGACGACTTCGAGACATTTAACAATCGGATTTATTGACCTGGCTCGATTCCGTTTCCAAAGAAATGAAATCGATCGTTACCGTTACGCTAACGGTTTTTTATAACTCAATCTGGAATCCGATAGATACCTTATTGGATCGGACGAATCTGTATTCGCGAGTTGAGCGGATCGTCCCATAAAAATCGCGATTTTTATGAGGATCGATCCATAATTAGAACGGGAGCTGTGCGTAATTAAACGATCTTTGTAATTTTTTGGTGTGCCGTGTATTTTTGAGTTTTCCGATACGCGAGCAGAATTTCTACGGTGATTACGTTAACCAGTTCGACCGAACAGTTTTCTGCCGGGGGTAGTAACCAGATTACCTTCCAGTTTTTCCAGTACTTATTTGAGCTGGTCAATACCCGGTCAAACCCGGGAATACCGAGTTGATTAGCGTTCAGGAATAAATTAGGATCAGGCCAGAAAATCTAGGAACGATTAGCGGGGAAACGAAACAGGATCCGCGGGCGACAGGGACGGAGAGACGAATGGAGAGAGAGAGAAGGAGAGGGCGCGAGAGAGACGAGGAAAAGAGAGAGAGAAAGAGTGAGATATCGACGCCGGGCGTCGAGAGGCTGTCAAGGCGCGCGCTTTTGTCGAAGCACTCGAAACGAGGAGTCGCTGGATCTTCTTTATGCAACGAGCTGGTCGATCTGGGTGAAAGGACGAATGCCTGGCCGCTTTTCGGCGGCGCGGATTAAACGGCGAGATCAAGCATCCTTGATAAAGCCGGCTCGAGTGCCGCGGAGAACGGCTAAATCGAGGGAAAAACCGGCGACGCGACCCGGACGACGTTCGGCGCTGTCGAATCTCTTCAGGCGTTTGTTGCCATTCGCCACGGGCCACGCTAAATTTTCGCCATTCCGAGATGCGAATTTTAGAATAGTTGATCTTACCGAAAGAGTTCCCCTTCGAAAATTAAACAGCTTTCCCTGAACCTCTTGTGCCCTCTGAAAGGGATCAAGATGATAGTGACAGGCTGAAATATGGAGGCTGTTTGACAAATACTTGTATGAATGAGGTAGTACTGTGAGAATTCATTTTTTTTAGAAGATGCAATGTAAACATTTTCCTTGGAATAGAGCGATGTATATCAAGATGCATGGACGAAGGGTTGATAGTCTAAAATTAACAGACTCTTCTTAATGTGCTTTCTACCGTCATTCATTTGAAGAATCCTCATATGTTAAGCATATACAAAATTCTATGATATGTAGACAATATAACAAAATGAATTTTGCTCTCTAAAATAACATTTTAAAGTAAATTTTTCAATATCTCTGAAATCACATGCCCCTACATCGAAGATGTTCAAGTAAGCAAACAAAGGGACGAAAATTGCTATGGCTGTTAGGGGACAGTTTTCGTGTTTTTGACGAAGAATTGACCGAGAGCAGATCCATTAATCCCGGAAACCGTCCCGACCCAAAGCCAGTCACTTTCAGCGAGATTCCCACGCACCGCGCTCCTCAAAAAGGTAAATTCTTCCTAACGCGCGCGCGCGCGTCCCGTCGAAACGGGAGCAACAGGACCCAGAGAGGCCATAGTTCCCCGCTTTTCCCGTGTTTGCTGACCACCCAGTGGTCCTTTAGCCGGTGTTTGCTCGTGTGTCAGGGGCCTCGAGACGCACTCGAGGAAGCCGTCTCGAAGGACTCGGCGAGTCGAGTGTCTCATTTTTGTTTGCCGTCTCGGGATTTTCCCGACAAAGGGACTGACCCGACAACCCCGGATTAGAGATCCATTCTACTCCCCCGAACGGATTCCGTTGTTTGCGCTAATTTCGCTGTCTCTACGCGAACATCGGAGAGGAAATTAGTGGGACGAGAAGTCAAGTCGGGATCTACCCGGGCTTGTTTTCTCAGGCCTTTCTTTCGAGTGTCTTAAAATTAACTTCTTAAGGGTAGCTTCGGTTAGTTAAAGGAGCCTTGCTATTGACAGTAGCGATCAGGTCTAAGTGAATCACTCTACCCTGTTTTTCTGCGTAGAAGGCTGTCCAATTAAACGCAATTCCCAAGATGTCGATGAAAAATATTCAAACTCCGAAGAAAGGATCAACAGAGCGTAACATATCCCCGACCGCAACCCCTCGGAATCAGCCCCATTGGGTTTTGAAAAAAAGAGGCGATCCAGCTGAGAAGCGCAACGATCCTGGCCATCTTATCTCACGCTCCACATCCCGCGGACCAAAGTGTCTCCGCATTATCCCTCCGTAATCCCCGTCTTTCCCGAATCTGGAAAGGGTTGAGCCGTCCGTGGTGGACCGGCTACGCGGTATTAGCCTTATTCGAGAGGTTGCCAAGGATATTTTCTGGACTCGTGCACAAACTGGATCTCCTCTGGTGGGAAGCTGTCCCGGCGGATCGGAGGTGAACCGTGGCTAACATCGTGGAGACGTTACCTTTCGACCGGTGGTTCCCCTTCAACCCCATCCGGGGCCC